TCCCAATAAGGTCAGTGAGCGAATCTTCAAAAGAGAAGCTGGCATCGAATGGGATCGATGAAACTCGTTTTATTTGATGATCAGTGTCAGCCACTAATGAGGATGTCTCAGAACCGTCAAGATCATCACATACACCACCACCCTCGAAAGGTGCTAGCGGTGCTCTAGCAAACAAATCCATACACAATGTGTTAGCGCCTATTCCTGAACTCATAAAAACAACTCTATAACTTAGTATGATTATAGTGAATAACTTGAATTTCATCAAATTATACGTCTTTTTGTGCGGAATACTGACACATGAAGGCTTTCGTTGATTTGACTTTGTCAGTCAACAGATAATATAATCAAAATTGAAACTTCTAAGATACTGTGGACCGTCCATTTCTCGGGGGTCTGTGTTTGGGTCATGCGAGAGAATTTATGGATAGGTATATGTAATGTGATGGCAAATAAATATCCGGAATTATTAGTTCTGAAAACATTGTTTCTGTCTCTTAATAAACGCTTCATGACACTCCTTCAAGCACCAAAAGATTACGTTAAGGCTTGCCCAGATGTTTTTCCTTGACCAGGCTAGCTGGTTCAGAAGACTCGTGTTGAGGGTACCGAAGTGGACGTACGTCCTTCCTCTTATCACCATGACCTTTCTTTACTCTCAAGTGATTTCCTTATTAAATAAATGGTTATCACTACTGTGTCATTTTCCTGTATCTACGGGGTTGTAGATGCGAATAAATCTGCAAAATCAGTAGCTCTGTAAGTCATCGACATTTGATTCTGGACGCATTGGTTTTAATGGACTCACGTAGCGGAATGCTCTCGGTCACGCATATACACCAGATCACGAGTGGGTACACTTTGCTTCAGATCTCCTACGACCGCTAGCCGGCTTAGGTTGATCACTTCTCGATATACCGATAGCCTATCAAATATACCTTCGAGCCTCTCCGCTTCTGACTTCTGATTTGACTGGGTTGGTACATTTCGATCATATAAGTTGTTACTGGTCAAGATGTCAAACTCCGAATGCTTGTGGCAAATTTAGGGTCCAGTATAATTTTTCTTTCAGTGGTTCGGAAATCTGATAGGATTATTCATTATTTGATAAATGAAGTGGTAAAATATCAACATCATGACAAGTCTTCTTTGAAAGCAGAACGAGAGAATATATCATACTGGTTTTTAATCATCAGATTCCTGAACTATTTCTTTTGGTAGTGAGTTCTACAACTTACTTATTGTAACCATGGGTTACGTGTCAGATCATTCATGTTCTAATCTTAATGAATGTCTACTTAGATGCAGTTCAGTATTTGTGATGGTTTGATAAAGAAATGTGTAACGGTTAACAAATCCGAAAATACGTAGTTTTATAAGTCATCAACACTAATTCAGACTTCATCAGTCCCATGGGACAAACTCCCAACTGAAGTCGCTTAGTAAATTATTCACGCCAGATCATGCTTGAGCACACCGAACTTCAAATCACTTACAGAAACTGGTCAGCTTAGATTAAATACTTCTCGATACATTAACCATTGTCTGAAAATATCTTCACTCATGGATTCTGCTCTAGCTAACTTCGATATCCTCGAATAAAAAGATAACCTGGATAATAGCGCAGCCATTTGTTGCATATCCATAACATGCTTAGGGATGAAGCTCGACGTGATCTGACGCTACAAACGAGAAACTGTTTGCTTTTTATCGTAGCATTTCGTATATTTTTTTATTGTGGTACTACTTTGTGCTCTCGAGTTTTTCCCTAATACCTGTATATTTTGTTCTTATTGTGTCGGGACACACATAAACGTATAGAGACAAAGTTATATACGCCCACCATCTTGTAGCTCTGTAGTGGTATTAGTCCCTAATCACACAATCCTCAAAGCTGGACACAAGACGGGTGGGAAAATAGATATTCAATGTTTAACACGGAGGAACTTCCAACGGTGAAGATGGCGGGGACAATGAATTGAATTAATTCTAGTTGGTCAGACGGCATAGCTGGGCCTTGCAGGCGCGGTCCCTGATGAATGTTATCTTATATCTTTTACTCATATTAAATATATTGTTTAATCTCTAGACTTAGTTTGTTCTCCATCATATACTGGTGATTGTCACGAGGCGATGAGTTGGCGTAGATAATAATGTTACAGTTACATCATGACAAATCTACAATTTTAGGATCAGGTCTGTTATTAGATCGGTATTAGTAAAGAAGTAAACCATAACTCTACATTGGTGAGCCTGACAATGAACGCAACCTATTATTATTCCTCATTTTGACTTAAACTTTCTCGATAGATTTTTACTTATGTCAACGCAGATCCTATTAATTTTCTGATTAATGCTCACGTGTATTATCGTATTGTAATATTGATTGGTACTCATAAGAACTGGTCATCTATATTAATTATAAGCCAAGATGGTTCACAAACAAGCTTTAATAGGATTTACGTACTTCAGCAAAATAAAATTGTTTAAACATCAAGTTCGAGAAGGTTTACAGGAGCGTTCAGGTTTACAACCTTGTTGTTTGGAGGTCCAAGCGAGTTTCCAATTCCTGGGCTCTTTGCTGACCGGATGGACATTCTTGGGGGCAGACTGTGCGACCAAATCACCAGTTGATTTCCCTACACTATTTAGGATGTTCTGCTTCATAGACGGTGACGTTCAGTCCTCTCTAACTTTGTTAACGGGGGTCCAACCATCTACTGAGTTGTTTTTGAACCACCGTTGCATTCAGGGATCCTGTTCTGGGAGACCCAAGTCTGCTGAGTTAGTCTATTACCGCCAATGTTATGATGGTGTTGAGTTTCAGCATGTCGTCACTAGTGTTATTACATGCTCCATCGTTAGTAGAGCTGTCGAGGTCCCTCTCCTTGTTTTCATCACGCGTCTTTGTTTGTCCATCCGTTTTATGACTGTCTTTCTTCCAGTTTGATGACAACTTGTTCCGCAGACCTGTAAATAGGACAAAGATGTTGTTCAGAAAAACTAACATCTGTGTTGCACATGACACATACTCACCAATGATCCAACTTACTGAGTCTGTTGTTGGCATTTACAATGAGATTTGTGTGCGCATCATGGAACCAACCTTTGCACTTGTCTCATTTCATGCCAGATGTAACAGCAAAACTGTACTATGGTCGTTTGCATGAATTTTTCATGACTACAGCGAAGTAAATTGTTGAAAATGCCACAGGTATTTTGAGTTTGACAACGCTTAAATCAGTAACACCTTCTAATATGAAGCGTACCCACCAAGTGAAATCAAAAGACAGAAGCAAGGGGGTTCGAAGAACTATTTGATAAGCTATCAATATATCGAGGATCGTCTGATCTAATCTGGCTAACGATTGCAGTAGTTGTTGAGCACGGCGTTCCCACTCGTGATCTGGTGCAGATGCATAACAGAGCGCCTTCAGTTAGATAAGTCCATTAAAACTAATGTGGCCAGCATCTAATGTCGAAGAATTACAGGGCTATTTATTTTGGGGATTTATTTACCGCTACATTGTTTTATAGATCCTGGCAAAAGCCTAAGACCGTAAAAAACAGTACACTACTCAAAACGGGTAAAATGTATAGTGATGGGTGGCAAAAAATGTTAGGATAAATTGAAACTAACCTTGACGTGAGAAACCAAGAAACCAAGTAGTAAGCTAGGGCAAAACCACATTTAATTGTTAAGTAAGGTGAAACTAATCTACTGGACGTATAGCTCAGAAAGGATTCTTTAGGTCGGAAATGATACTTTTGTTGCGTAAGAACATAGCAGAAGTTTGAGAAATGGAAATCACGTTGAGACTAAACATATCGTTCGTGAAGCGCGCGCTTTATTAGTATATACTGACTAAATAATCAGCATGCAATCCTCTCGTGACAACTTTAGCAAAATTTGGAAGCTGTACTAATGGCGGCTCTAAACGATGAAATGAAAAAAAATTCTGATCGACAGCTTCTGAATACAGTTGCAAACCGACAACTTAGGCGATCTTTAGTGTCGGTTATTATGTTGAGCCTATATACCTTATTCTAGCTTTCGGACAGTTCAATCTATACATTATACTTGAGTCACATTTCGACCTTGTCAATTATTTACTTATCAATCTTGACTTTGTAAATGAGCGCATATGTGTGTGTACATTTCTTATCCTATTCATCGTTTGTTTGTTACTAATTTCCGTGGGGCTATAAATATTGATTAACGCTTGACTAAATGGAGTTGGCTCACATGCATTCTTCACTACCCATAGCTTCGCTTAGCTCTATTCCATTCGGTTCATACACAATATATATGTATTCAAAAGTCCATTCTCGTTATTTGACTTATTAAATTCCGTTATTGAATAACTCGATTTAAGTCGATGAAATATACCAGATGCGACATAAGCATTCCAATAACTATCATTCATACGATCTACTTGTAGTCAGACCTTGGGCCACTAAAGTGGAGAGCCCGTCGACAAAATAGTCCAATCTAAATGACGACAAAATAAAAAGCCCTGCCGAAGATCTTTGTCAAACGATTGGGGGCCTCCTCAAGTTAGACGGGAATGATGTGACCAACCAGCTAACGTCAACGTCACGTCTCATGATTAGTACCTTCCCTTTAGTAATATAACTACTTTTATAACCTTACAACACAAACGACGTTTTTAGAGAAGTATATTAGTAAGAGTAGGTGCGAAGAACAGAGTGCAGCCTTTATATCATTGGGCCGGCCTATGACGCTGATCTTGACGATGACCGGTGAACTGTTAGGTATTTAGTGACTCGGCTGTCAAATGATCTGTCTAGGGCCTCGTAAAATTTTATCGGGCCTACAAAGTCTACCATAAAACAAGGCTCAGGAAAATAAGAGTAATAATCTCATCCATGCAACGATTCCCTTGAAGGTAGGCAGAAGTCTGCTTTAGATTCAGTGGTTCCAATTGATTTTTTATGGGTATTACAAGTCTGTCAATCAATATTTCGTTTTCCGACTACTTATTAACCACTAGGAATAAGAAATGCTCCATTTTACACAGAATAACCACACATAAAATCTAGTCAAAGATATCAGTGGACAATTAGTTCGCCATCACTGTGTAATTCGGTTTGGATCTAGTACAATAATAATTGGCGGGAAAACGAACTGTGGGGGACGTGATTAACAACTGATGCTTTTAACAACAACACGACGTTTCGCCCTGAACAGATTTGACAGATGGACTTATTTGAATCAATGTAGTGCATATTACTCCATACGCTCAAATGATTCTTCGGAAGATAAGTCTCAACAGTCTTGGTGGAGTGGGAAAAATGCATGGAAAATAGGTTGTTTTACTTTGGCATGTTCCAGTTTGTTTGCGGTTGGGTTTGCCGTGGCTACTTGGGGTAAGATAGGTACTGCATTATTCATGCTTAATAGGTCCTCCGAAAAAGGATGATAACGGAGTTGAAGTAAGTGGGTAATTCCTAAATATTCCGATTAGATTGAAGACAATTTTAGTCGAAGTAAGCGACAAATATATACCTAATAGTTCGCAGAACCAATTATCTGGGGCTATCTTTGTCGAACGTTCAGTTCTCTGCTTGAATTTAACCAAGTAAGTATTCAGGGCACATACTCACTGTCTGTAGAGCATAAAGGATCCTGTTAGTGAAAAACTCCTTCCAGATCCAGTACAACCTCCATATTACCAACCACCGTATACTCTTGTTCTGGAGATGACCGACGTGCTTGTTCATCCCGATTGGAAGGTAATGTGTTATCATCTATAGTTTGGTTTAAAATGACAGTTTCGCTCAGGTTGGCGTTTTAAGAAAAGAGCAGCCTTAGAATTGTTTTTGCAACAGCTATCTCCTCACTATGAGGTTGTTGTCTATACAAACGAATCGGTAATGGTAAGTTTAATTTTTTCGGAAATTTTAGTTTGACGGGATAATAAGGTACACCCTTTGCATTGTTGGTATCAGTAACTTGCAATATGTATCAGTCAACGTATATCGTAAGCGTATGTTCTTTCCAATTTACGTTCAATCTTTAACGACACCGAAAATCGCGAACACAGCTAGTCCTATCAAGCTGAATGAGACTTGTCTAAAAGTGTACTCAGTAAATCTTCTGATGGGATTAATAAAATTTCTAAAGAACCAACATAAGACTGATAGTTTCTGTAGAAACAAGTCATGATAATTTAGATGAATATTTTCCTGGATGGAAATGTAGCTCTTATCAGACTAAATATAGGTTGTAGCGTAATGTCGAGTTGTATGTGACTATGAGCACCTCTACAAGACTACGTGCCAGTAAACCAATAAGATCTCCGTAGGCCAATATCAGAAGGCAGATGATAGCTGTAGTCGAGATGTATTTGTTGGCGATCTCGTGGTATCGAAAGAATACCGAGATCGTGCCAAAGGAGTACAAGCGTGGTTACTAAACGTAACCGGATTCGTACAAGTTCAAAGTCAACGGGAGAGTAAGTAAGTGTAATGGCTGTCATTAGCATAGTTAAACAAACGAGCACAGTAAAACAGTCACTGGTAAAATCGGTTAAAATAATAATTGTTTTCATTGAACCAATCGCGTTCTGTTGACAAAAGTAGGTCACTACACGGTAATCTTAAACCAGGAATAGCAGCTGGTCCAGATGGATTGACTCCATAGGTCTTTAAGGATGGTGGTCCAATTTTAATGATTCGGTTGACGAATATTTTAGCTGAGATATGGAAGTTGCACGTAATCCCATCTGACTGGTCACAATCACTGATTGTCACAATATGTAAGAAAGGGTCAAAATCAACCTGAGACAACCATAGATGGATTAGTTTGATTAATATGGCATCCAAAATACTAGCCTAAATAATTATCGGTCGGCCAACAAGCACTCGTGAACTGCAAACATGAGAAAACCAGGCTGGCTTCAAACCTGGTCATGGCTGCATCGACCACATATTCACCGTGCGTCAGGTTCTGGAACACAAAAATGCTTATCGGCGTCCGACAATAGTGGTCTTTCTTGAATTAAAAGCAGCATTTCACTCAGTAGACCGCGAGATTCTGTGGCAATGTCTGTCATTGAAGGGTGTACCTCAGAAGTGTATCAACCTTATGAAGGCTCTTCACTCGAACACCACTAGTCGAGTCAGAGCTTACGGCGAACTGTCATCTGATTTTGCAACCTCAAGTAGTGTCCGTCAAGACTGTCCACTTTCTCTATTTTTGTTTAACTTCATATACCTACTGATGGGAATAACGCTCTTATTGACTGGATTTTCGGGCATTGGTCTCCCACCAGGAGGTCTACTTATCGACTTAGAATACACAGATGATATAGTCCTGTCTGGTGAAGACGCTGATAAAATGCAGTGTCTTGGTGGCACTGAGCGACAATGTGAGGATGTTCGGGATGTGTTTCTCCTCCTCTAAATGCGAGTTGTTGGTTCAGGACTGGTCTGCGTCAACACCTGAACTAAGGATAGGGAGTGAAGTAGTCCAATGAGTTGACAACTTCACTCATCTCGGAAGTCCGATCGGTCACAATAGGTTGGTGTCTGACGAAATCTCACCACAGATTCGAAAAGCTCGTTTGGCTTTTGCCAACTTACGTCACCTATGGCGAAGGCGAGATATCGATTTTTCAATTAAGGGACGATTATACTGCACGGCAGTTCGTTCCGCTTTAATTTACGGCTGCGAAACGTGGCCATTAAGAGTAGAAGATATTCGTAAGTCACTAGTATTTGATCACAGATTTCTTAGAAATATTGCTCGCATCTGCTGGAATCACCGGGTAAGTAATAGTGAGGTTAGATGCAGGGTATTAGGAAATGATGGTAAATCAGTTGATGAGGTTGTGAATCTTGATCGACTGAGTTGATTGGGCCATGTGTTGCATATGTCTGAACACTGATTATTTATTTATTTATTTTAACACATAGGTATTGGTACAAGGAGGCACCAAATACATATGCGCCACACGAATCACAATTTATTTGTGTGAGGGCTGTGATACTGCCCGGGTGCCCAAATCGAAGCATGTGGTTTTCTTAGGGGGCCACACCCCGAGCCTTTGACCTGAACGTCTGATCCACAAGGCAGTGGAGCATCGTGAGGAGATGCACTCCCATGGTAGCCGGTGACCAACGATTGGTTCATACGCCATTTGTTCCTTCAGGATACTGGAGCCCATGTGCACCATTGATTTGGGATCCGGTTAAAGCGCCGGAAATTCGCTTTTCGTCCTCTCATTTTCGTAAACAACACCCTTGGTGCGAGAAGGCAGTGAGTAGGACTTCCCTGGCAGGGGCTATGTACGCGTAGCCATGTGAGAGCATTTGGAGAGGGAGAGCGGACTCTCCCCACTCTCGGCCGTACCAGGGCATTTGGGGGCCACGACGCGCAAAGCTGATTAGCGTAGGGTATGGTCGGAAGAGAGTTAAGAGGGGACAAACCAAATCGCGGCATCAGTGCTTGAAGTCACTGACTTCTGGTCTGAGCCATGTTGGTAGACTACTCGGTTGGGGTCCACGTGACTATCGTAACCAATGGTTGGAGACTCGGGGTGACATGACTCAGTATCTAAACATTTAGTCAGTAAAAACGTGGAACTTCGTACGTACGTGCAGCCGTTCGAGTTGCCGCACCACATAAGCACAGAGATTCAGTTATCGATTCAATTCCGTAGTGGTAGAGGTAGTGAAAGTGTAAGTAGTGATAGGGAACATCAGGGTTTGATGATGTTATTTAAGGAGTATAGTCCAGTGGAATAGATTTGGAAAGAAAATAAAAGACATGAAGAATACAGAAGATTTATGAGAACACAGAGAGTGGATGCACCTGCGCCATTGCAAACGATTTTTAGCCATGTCATTCAAGGTCTCTAACCATCGGTTGCTATCATCTCGCGGTCCCCAACCAAGTAGTCTACACCTAGTCTGCATTTCACGAGCTTTGGTTAGACGTCGAAGTATTATTGAAGCTAATATTTTAGACACTATATTAGTCAAACTAATTCCTCTGTGATTATCACAAGAAGAATTGTCCTTTCTAATAGACTGGCACAATCAGTAATTGAGACCAGTCAGATGGGATTACGTCCAGTTCCCAGATTCTACCTAAGACCTCAGCCAGTCTCGCTGCTAATACTGGACCACCATCCTTAAAAATCTCAGGGGTAAACCTGTCATGGCCTGTTGCTCTCCCACGCTTGAGATTCCCTGTAGCTTTTTCAACTTCGTAAAGAGTTGGAGGACGTACATCGACTTGCCATGCAGGTCGACTGGAGGTCGTGGGAAACCGAAGTGTGGCTGAAGGTCAGTTGAACTGATCCCTAAAGTGTTCTGCCCATCGATCCAATCTCCTGGATTGAGAATGAATAATATGTCCATCTTTTTCGGAGATAGTTTCGCTAACAGTTGGGTTCCCAATACCGGTTCCCTTGACAAGTCCGAACAGTAGTCTGCTGTTACCCATTGCCGCTGCCTTTTCCATCTCGCTTTCGCTACCCACCACTGTTCACGATCATTGCGTAGGCTTCTAGTCAGCTTACGCTTAAGCTGACTCCGCTCTTCGTCATGTTCAGAGCCAGATGGAATGAGTTTTCGAGCATCTATCAGCGCGGTAGACGCTGCTGAGATCCAGTGTTTCTCCCTAACCTTATGGTTTACCGTACTTGCAGACATCACTGCTGTTTCTGCAGCTTTTCGGATGTCATCCCACGCTGCCTCGGGGTGGGCAACACTTACATGGCTGTCTAACTTTCTCTAGTTGTTCCTGAAATATACTCTTAGCTTGACTATCATTAGGTAGGGCCTCAAGTGGTTTCCTTGCACCATCTTTCCCAAGTCCAGTAAGTCGTAGACAAATACACGCTCGCACTAGAGCATGATCTGAGTCTAAGCATGTGCTCCAGAATGAGCGACAGTCTTCCATCGAGCCCCTCCATCGGTGGGTGATAGCGATGTGATCTATTGGGGTCCAACGTTGGTACGAATTAGAGGGTCTCCATGTCAAAAGATGTTTTTCCTTATGCTTAAAGTTAGTATTTGCAAGAAACAGGCGGTTATCTGAGCATAGCTGCAACAGACGGTCGCAATTATCTGTTCTTTAAACCGTGACACCATAAGATCCACCCAAGTGTCTTTCGCTTAGTTTACCTACTTGAGCACTCAAGTCACCAGCCACTATTACTACATCAGAGCGCCTAGCTTTTCGGAGAAGGTCGGAAAGCTTTCTGTAAAACTCATCTTTTACATTATCTGAGCTACAGTTAGTGGGAGAGTAGGCAGAGGCAATGAAAAGTGTCCCTATCTTTCCGAGTCCTTACTGTTCCGTTTAGTCGGACAGCTCACAAACGATCCAGTTAAGAGAGCTAGTTCTGCCCTAGGACTCAATGCTATATCTACGCCAGCGAGGCCACGGGAAGCAGCATCAGGGCTTCCAGATACACGAAGCGTAAATCCAGTTGGTTCGTTACTTTGACATGATGAGGTCAAATGAAGGACACTACTCGGATCCTGTGTGTGCGTTTTGGAGACACAGCACACGTCGATGGAGCAAGATCCTAGCTAAGGAAGCCTGTTGTCCTATTTGGCACAGTGTTTGGACGTTGGAAGCTCCTATGTGTAGTTTAGAACGTGGTTTCAGGAGACCAGGAATAACGTTCCGCGTATTCGAATCGTTTGCACTAGTGGGGCGAGGTGATAAAGGGACGTAAGAAGGGTTAGTCGTGGAGATAAGAGAGTCATTAAGAGGTGTAGGAAGGATTTGAATGTGACCAACTTGGTCTCGTGTGCTGTTACGGGTATGAGAACTGGTGTCACTTCCCGGCTGCCCACACCGTGGAAGGGTATTTCTTGAGGAACCTTAAAAAGAAGTCGGATTAGTGTTAGTCTTAAAGACCTGGTAGCGTGACCGCAGAGCCCAAGGGACAACTGCTTGAGGCCGGTCGCGCACGGCCTTTTTGTGGGAGGTTTTTAATGTGTTAGCTCCTCTTCAAACGGCCTTACCACCGGAGACGGAAATCCGTTGGGTAAGGTGATGTGTGACATTTTTAGGGTCAACATTTTCTAACCCGTTTCTTCCTTGTGAGAAGGCAGCATCGCTGTAGATGCTGGTTGTACGAGGGAAACACCTTACATCTGTCACACCTCTGTACAGTCAGCAGTACGACTTCGCCCTCAGACCTTGAATTGCTGCTTTTAGTCTTATCGTTCTCCAATCGACCTTCCTGGCATGGTAGAACCTACAGGAACACATGTTCCATATAGAAGGAACGAATTGGGCGGAGAAATTTCTTTTCAATTAGTTTTTCATCATGGCTCTACACTAATATGTATATGATTTACAATAATGATATAATACTTATTGAGTGTATACGTTACGTAATAATTACATAATGACATTTAAATTAACATCGAGTAGTTTGGAAGAAAGATGAATATTAATATTCAAAGTAATTATTCGAAAATCAAGAAGTTGCTACGTTTCATAATATATGAAAAAAAGAGAAGGAAGAGAATTTGTAATGGATGGTCAATAGAATGGTAGTTACGCAAGAATCAAGAGATGAATGTTGAGAAATTATAAAGTTCAAAAACAAAATTTAACATTAAAGAACTAAAAAACACAAATGTGAGAAGTATGGAAAATAGTTCTTTTGAAGGGAATCTTATACCGATGTCTAAGGCAGCGAAAGTGGTTGAACAAATTTTTTTGAATGCAGAGGTTAGGTTTGTGAACATGGATTGCTATGGCTTCCGCAATGTGCAAAAGACTCACTCGTTAACCATGTGGTAAATTTGATGGGATATGGTAGATAACCTGAAAAGCTTTATTCGATTCAACTTGGTGACCTGTGTCATCACGATAGGCAAGCCCGATCACCATGTCAAGGTAGCAGCTACGGTCGGGGTTCCCTTAAACCATGAGATTAAAATCGTTTCATATCTTTCTTTCTACGAACTAATTCTTTCATCCTGTACTATGTCCTTCTATGCAATTTTTCTTTTATATATTACCACCACTGAATTAACTACTTCTATGAATCCGCTGTTTATCTTGTTGTGTTAATGAGGTATGGCAACTTGGACCGATGCACATATGTGCCTGGACCTACATTGTAGCTGACTGACTTATTAAGTCTGAAAGCCAAAGCGTTGTGTACTTGTATTTGCCATGTTTCACGCTCAAGGATTGTGCGTTAAATGTATGTAACGTTCGATTAATAAAATATTTTTGAAAAAGGGGCGTAAATTGTAATCTTTTCACCACAATAGCCAAATAAATTAGTTCTTGGATTTTGTGAAGTTCTACATTGCAATTCTCCCAGGATTTTCCAGACTTCATTTAGTATATCCAAACTAGTACAACCAACGTGGAACCAACTGCAGTTCATAAGTTTTTATCTATTCCTGAAGTGTTCATATAGCTTAATCTAGCTCGAATAATAGTCCTGAAGTATTGTGATAGATTTTGGAAATTAGACTTCAGTCATTTAGATCATTAAATGCAGTCTCGCCTAAACTTACGTCATTTACATCTTATAGGTGTCATTACCGAGGTTTGACTTGCTAATTTCGAATAAATAGAGCATTGAGTAGATTGTTATTATTAAGAGTAATATGTTTGTAATATTCCAATGAGTAGAAACATTAAATTTTTAAATTTTCTAGTGTTTTTTTACTCAGTGTAGGCCATTTCTTCAGAGAATAATTAGATAAGTTTAATTAATCCAAATTTAAATAGAAGAAAGCAAGAACACTTGGTATTATTACTATTACTATTATTATTATTATTATTATTATTATTATTATTATTATTATTATTATTATCGTTTATTTATTATTTAAACACAAACATTGGTACAAGGAGGCACCAAATATATACCCGCCACACAGATCATCCTATTTTTGTAAGGTGTCCAAACCGGTGCAAGTGGTTTTCTCATGGTGTCAAACCCCGAACCTTTGACCTGAAGGTCTAATCCCCAAGACAGTGGAGCGACGTTAGGAGATGCAGTCCCATGTTAGTCGATGACCATGCGAAGAGAGAGAGAGATGGAAAGCTGACTCTCTACATTCGGCATTTGGGGGCAAGAATATTTGGTGCAATCAATCAAAAACAGGTCTGATCAAGTCAATGTCATGTCATTCCGGTCAATGTGGTTTATGTGGTGCATGTTCGTTTATGTATGTTAAAGGATGAAAAAATGCGAAATTTGTGGTACGAAAGATACAGTTAAATTTGTGTATACCATAGTGGTGTGAAATGTGAGTAGAATCAGACATGGTAGCTCGGATGGATGGTCCAGGTCGAATAGATAGTGAGGCTTTCTTTTCTATTGAGGACAATAGGATTAAGCAATATATGAAAAGCTTCAGCTACTCGCTTTTCTTTGTAGTTGGAAAAGCCGTTTTTGTATTATTTTGATGTTTTTGATATCGACTTGATGGTTATTGAAAATTGCATGAACTGCTACTATCCATCTAATTTTGAGTCTTTTCAATCCTATGGGATTATTTGGAGGTTTCTTTGTGTGCCTAAGATTTTTTTTGGCTCTAGTCAAGATTTCACGGGATGACTCCACAATGTAGGTGTCATAATCGACACATCTTAATTTGTAGACATAATTCTGTGTTGACATGGAGGAGATTTTTTCTTTTATGAAAACTAAACTATTTCGAAGGGTGTTCGTTATTTTGCGATATACTTTAATTCTATGTTGTTGTAAGACTTGGGAGTTTTGTTATTGTACATATAAATTCGACTCAATCCTTTCGTACCACAAATTTTCATCCTTTAATATACATAAACAAACATGCACCAAATAAACCACGTTGACCGGAATGACATGACATTGACTTGATCAGACCAGTTTTTGATTGATCGCACCAAATATTCTTGCTTTGTTCTATTTAGACTTAGGTTAATTTAACTTATTTTCTATTCTCTGAAGAAGTGCCGTATACTGAGTCACGAAACATCAGAAAATTTAAAAATTTCAAGTTTCTACTCTTTGGAATATTACAAATATTTTATTTTTTTACTAGTCATTTGCTTTTGTTTGTAACTGCTTACTGCGTGAATACGCGCTGATAAAATCTTTTCAGTATTATTCATTATAAGTGATTTCACTGTTTCGAAGATTGGAGGTCCTGTCTTGGCTCAGATGGATCCTCAAGGACAGTTTATTCACTTTCGACTGTTTCGCGAAGCAACCCGCTATAAAGGAGGAAAACACATCAAGGATCTATCATGTCTTAATAGAGATCTCTCTCGTGTGGTGTTCGTTGACTGGGATCCTGCTGCAGCTCAGTTGCAACCACGCAATGCACTGATTATAAAACGTTGGGATGGCGATGAGTCAGACAGAGAATTGATAGACTTAGCTGCCTTCTTAAGAAGTAAGTACAGCCCTTAGCGAAACATCAATAACTTTGTGATATTATGAGGAAGCATTGACGTTGATAGTCATGCATTGATTCCATTTATAAGTAAGCAACTGGTGAAATTTGCATTCCCCAGTTTTTGATCTCTTGAATACTTACTTACGGCTGTTACCTCTCGTGGGGCACACGTCCTCCAATCAGGGATTTTCAACCAACTACGTCCTGGGCTCTTCTTTCCAGTTGCTAAGTGCTATAGGTTCTTTTGATGTCTGCGTCCTATTTCCGGCGTAGTGTGTGCTTTGGATTATCTTTCTTATGTTTTCTCCGAGGATTCCAAGTTAGGTCTTGCTTTGTGATGCAGTTTGATGATTTCCGTAAGGTGTGACCTGTTCACCTTTTCAGCATCTTTTTCTAATTTCCACCTCAGCTGAAAGCTGGTTTGTTCTCTGCCACAGTAGGTTGTTGTTAATAGTGTCTGGTCTATGGATCTGGAGTATCTGGTGTAGACATCTGTTCTTAACTACCTGTACCTTTTTATGATGGTTGTAGTTTTCCAAGTTGCAGCTCTGCACAATAGAACTGTCTTAGTGTTAGTATTAAAAATTCACGTTGGTTTTGGTCAAGCTGTCTTGAGTCCCATATGTTCTTCAATTGTAAGCATGGTGCCCTTGCTTTGCCAATCCATGCCTTCACATTTGTATTAGACCCCGTTTGTTTATCAATGGTACTACCCAGATATGTTGGATGGTTGTAGTAAGGTTGTATTAGACATTTTAATGCTGCCTTTCCAGTTGTCCAGGGCTTCTTTAGCTTCGGTTTCAACTGGGTAACCACCAAGTGGTGATCTGAACAAATATCAGCTCCTCATTTTGTTCTTAAGTCCTTCATGGACCTTCTAGAGTTTTTGTTAATTCAGATATGATTGATCTGTAGTGTTATCTGTTGAAACCCATGTAGCTTTAAGTATGCGTTTGCGGGGCAAATGGGCGAGACTATAATTTATGGACAAACCAAACAGATTTAAGATAACCGGTCTTGGTTTTTGGCGCGAAATTATTTCACTCATTTGTCTAAATAGCGTTTCGGCATTTTAGCTGATTTCAGTTCGTGATGAAAACCATAAATCTAATTCCTAAGCTTAACTATCAATTGTAAATCATTGACCTTATTCTTCAAACTGCTTTATCATCTTCTTTTAGCCCTAGTAAATTGGTGGACGTTCTCAAAGGTTGTCCATAAATTATAGTCTCACCAGAAAATGGTTCCACTTATAACGATGTTAACGAGAGTACATAGATCGGACAGTTTCTCACTATTCTCATTTCTTTCTGCTAGTCCACATCGCCCTATGGTACTTTCATGTCCCGTGTTGTCCATGCAAACCTTAGCGTCCAGGGCCCCCATTAATATGATCAGATCTTTTCCTGCGCACTTCTTTACGATAGACTCCTACCACATAAAACTGTATTTTGCTGTGTTATTTTACTGAGAAGAAACTCATCCAGCTGACTAGTCGTGTCTCTAGTGTAAATTCATCACGCATTTGTTCCATCTAGTCGACGACATTGTATCGTTTCTTTTCATCTGTTAATCAAGGTTAAATTCGCTTATTTTAGCAACCCAAAATATGCATAATCATAACGCATCTAAATCTATGCTCCATATTTGCTTTACTTTCGTACAGAATGGGTATTTATTGGTATTTATTTTTAGTAGCATGTGTCCTATTTCAATTTCGCCCATTAGTTTTCCGTGTACAAAACCATCAGTATCGATAGGTTAGGAACGGGACTTCCTTAATTCCCAGGTTGAAGTTACCAGACAAACTCATGATGACTAGTCAACCGCTATCAATTAATCTCGTAGTCAGTAACTATTTAAAAGTTTTATTCTGAAACTTGGTGAAATTTAACGCCCTTTTCAGCTCTAGTTTACCGGTTGTTACATTTTCAAATGCTCGTCAACTATCCTTATCATATATTTCTCTGTTTTTAATTATTTATAATTTTCCAGTGATTGCAATGGGGAGTGTAGATGATGTTCGCCTTGTGCTAGATTACTACAGAGAGTTTGATGACCCTTTAGCCTTCTTCCGTGAAAAGCATGAAGAACTTATGGTGAGTCTATGTTGAACTTAAATTTATTTATTTGAAACCATGGGTACTTTTGTAGTGTTAACAGACAAACTACAGCCAAAAAATAATTTACGAAGTATTTATTTCAAACGAAGCCACTTTTCTCAATTATACTATTAGACTATCCACTTGGCGTTGTATATCCGACATTGCGAAGCAGCAAAAGTGGTTAAGAGTGGCATATATCACACTGTCCTTTTCGATAATAGATCTCTTTTATTACACCACCGTCAACGTACGTTTTCGATCATCTTAACTGTTTCCAATGGCTGACCACTCATAGTTAGAGATACAGATGATAAATAGCTTATTCGTGGCTATTTCATTGGAGGTTGGTTCTTCTTAGAAATAGGTTATGATCTGCCCAAGACTGCAAAAGATGATCACCTCATTTTTAATACGTAGGTGCCGCCCATATAACCCTTTTATGTGACTACGCTTTCAACCTAAGCACTCAACTCCATAGTTATCTTCAAAATATCAAGCTATCCACTATGTTTGAAGAGATTACAAGGTCACCTAAGATCGGCAGATAAAACGAAGGATCAGCAACACAACGACATGACAAGCAAAATTATTCGGATGCGTCCCAGCCCTGCTAACAAAAAGGAGAAGATCAGGTTCAGATGTATTCCACAAACAGCCAGAAGCACGAACGAACCAAGCACACAACTCAAGCATATATATATATATATATATATATATATATATATATATATATCAGTCAGCAAAAGAGATGGAAAAGGCGGCGGCTATAGGGAACACAAGACAACTCTACAGACTAATAAAAGAAACTGGGATTAATAAGTCAAGTGTAAGTCAGACTCTCGGAAAAAGACGACACTCATCTGCTCCCAGTCCAGACGTTTAGAACGATGGGCGAAACATTTTAAGGAGCAGTTCACTTGGCCTTCAGCTACTCTACAACTACCCTCTATTCCCAGACAGTATGAATGGAACATTGAAGTAGGTCCCCCAACTCTAGCTGAAGTTCGAAAGGCTATAGCTAATCTGAAACGAGGAAGGGCAGCAGGTCCAGATGGATTGGCTCCAGATGTCTTTAAGGATGGTGGTCTAGTCTTAGCGATAGGTTGACTAATATTTTAGCTAAAATCTGAGAGTTAGACGTTATTCCATCTAACTGGTCACAATCACTTATCGTCCCAATATTTAGGAAAGGGTCAAAATCATCCTGAGACAACCATAGATGGATTAGTTTGAATAATATGGCATCCAAAATACTAGCCTAAATAATTATCGGTCGGCCAACAAGCACTCGTGAACTGCAAACATGAGAAAACCAGGCTGGCTTCAGACCTGGTCATGGCTGCATCGACCACATATTCACCGTGCGTCAGGTTCTGGAACACAAAAATGCTTATCGGCGTCCGACAATAGTGGTCTTTCTTGAATTAAAAGCAGCATTTCACTCAGTAGACCGCGAGATTCTGTGGCAATGTCTGTCATTGAAGGGTGTACCTCAGAAGTGTATCAACCTTATGAAGGCTCTTCACTCGAACACCACTAGTCGAGTCAGAGCTTATGACGAACTGTCATCTGCTTTCGCAACCTCAAGTGGCGTCCGCCATGGCTGTCCACTTTCTCCGTCTTTGTTTAACTTCATCATAGATCTACTGATGAAAATAACGCTCATCGACTGAATTCTCGAGCATTGATCTCCTACCAGGAGGTCCACTTATTGACTTAGAATACACAGATGATATAGTCCTGTCTGGTGAAGACGCTGATAAAATGCAGTGTCTTGGTGGCACTGAGCGACAATGTGAGGATGTTCGGGATGTGTTTCTCCTCCTCTAAATGCGAGTTGTTGGTTCAGGACTGGTCTGCGTCAACACCTGAACTAAGGATAGGGAGTGAAGTAGTCCAATGAGTTGACAACTTCACTCATCTCGGAAGTCCGATCGGTCACAATAGGTTGGTGTCTGACGAAATCTCACCACAGATTCGAAAAGCTCGTTTGGCTTTTGCCAACTTACGTCACCTATGGCGAAGGCGAGATATCGATTTTTCAATTAAGGGACGATTATACTGCACGGCAGTTCGTTCCGCTTTAATTTACGGCTGCGAAACGTGGCCATTAAGAGTAGAAGATATTCGTAAGTCACTAGTATTTGATCACAGATGTCTTAGAAATATTGCTCGCATCTGCTGGAATCACCGGGTAAGTAATAGTGAGGTTAGATGCAGGGTATTAGGAAATGATGGTAAATCAGTTGATGAGGTTGTGAATCTTGATCGACTGAGTTGATTGGGCCATGTGTTGCATATGTCTGAACACCGATTACCACGATGCGCAAAGCTGATTAGCGTAGAGGATGGTCGGAAGAGAGTTAAGAGGGGACAAACCAAATCGCGGCATCAGTGCTTGAAGTCACTGACTTCTGGTCTGAGCCATGTTGGTAGACTACTCGGTTGGGGTCCACGTGACTATCGTAACCAATGGTTGGAGACTCGGGGTGACATGACTCAGTATCAATCACAATGGTGTGGGTGCATACACTCTCTGTCTTCCTTTAAACTAAGAGATTAAAATCGTTTAATATCTTTCTTTCTACGAACTTATTCTTTCATCGTGTACTATCTCCTTATACACACTCTTTCTTCTGTATATTGACACCACTGAATTAACTACTTCTATGATTCCGGTGTTCATCTTCTCGTGCTAATGAGGTATGGCAACTTGGACCGATGCATATACGTGCCTGGTCCTACGTTGCAGCCGACTGACTGATATATATATATATATATATATATATATATATATATATATATATATATATATAATGAACAAGTCGTTAGATGTTACAAAATAGCGTATTATAAAAGGCAACATATCAATGACATTTTGGGTCCTTCCAAACGGGAAGTAGAATATGAAGGTAAAAATGGGCGCTCTTGATGCGGAAACGAGAAGCTCAAATTCCAAAATAAAATTACTAAGCGATTTCTGGTGAGCTAGGATCCTTAACACTGTCCTAGTTTAGCGAACTGTCCATTACACCGATTCTGTAGTTAGCGAGAGGATCATTAGAGATTTTTGTTTCAACATGAACATTGGCACAAAGGGGCACCTCAATATACTTACGCCACATAAATGAGATAGATAAAAGATGAGTATGATAAAAAATAACGATAACAAATAGAAATTAGTGTGTGGAAGTGGAAAGAAAGTGGTAATAATTCAGTTAAGAAAAATACAAGCAGAAAGGATTCTTTCAGTTAAAGAAGTTTCTCTCTTATATGAAGAAAGTAAAAGAAAGTTATAACAGGACCGCCATTGGCTTTTCTTCTGACCCATGTCTGAATGCCTATGCAATCCATTTTTTAGCCAATAAAGTTCACTTGTCCTTCAGGTCAATTCTGATTGTCGTCGATTGACCTAATTCTGATTGGCTTACCGTATTATAAATGGTTTATACGTATGCTAATAACCGTCGTATAAGAATATACTCAGTATGTTTTTGATGATTGACTGTTTGTTTTTCTAAATTACTTTCATGTTATTCTGAACTTTTTGCAATTTTATTTATTCAGGAAATTCAAGCCAAACGTAAACAGGAAACAGAAAAAGCTTTATCGAAACGCATTCGACCAACATTTTCATTTACTGGTATGGCTAGATCCTGATATTATTGATTTTACCGGCAATACCATCTCAGAACGTTGTACAGGAATAATCCTCAAGGGGATTTCGAAATTCTCTTGTTTTATATAAATATAATCTTATGTGCTTGAATTTTTCATTTTTAAACCATTTATGGAGTTAGAGTTTCCTGCCCGTGGTAATTTTTTAAATTACAATTTATCAAGTGTCATCATACAATTAGGAGCAATTCGACTTCATTTGGTCAGTACATTCGCTCTGTAAATTGTTGCTGCTTACTTTATACTTCCATTATTGCAAATGTGACACTTGATGAGGTTGTATAAATTTTCCATTTGAAGCAATATTGAATAATAATAAGTGACATTTTTTAAATTCAGAGCTGAAATATAAAAACGTCATTTGTTTTGTTATAAACATTTTTGAAACCATGTTCGGGAAGTATGAAACTATCAATCTATTTGGTTGCTAAATTTGGCCATTCGATCTGAACAGTTCTCAGCGGTTGTCACTGCATTCATCTTTTTACATTTCGGTATACTTTTCTTACGGTTAGGGTCAGTCATACGCAACGTGGGACCTGACACTTGTTTACATTAGATCCAAGCAGTTGTGCCCCATTATCATACAGGGATGAGAATGTCAGGGCGAATCTTAGTAGGATTATTGAACTCCAAGCTATTGCCTTCTTTAAAATGATATTCCAATAATAGTAAAAGCAAAATATGAAACGTTGGTTGTAATTAACACGAGATGTACTTGTCTAAATTTATGTTGAAGGAAACCATTATTCAAGAACAATGTAGGTGAGGTGACTGAGTGTCATCTCTAATCAACAGTGCGCTAGAGTTTCCTCCTTAATTCTCTCGATCAATATCTATTTTTTGGATTCCGGGTTAATCCTAGATGTTTTGTAGGCTTAAGTGATTTGACTTCATTCACATACCTTCCTTCATTACGATTTACTCAACTCTTATTTATATTTGTTGAGGCTTCTATTTGATAGTGTTTTTACTGTACTACTGAAATGAAGTTTTTGGTAGAAAGTTTATTACTCCATAGGAATCCAATATGTCTGCATTATTTACTCCTCTGTTTGTGATTAGTTGTGTTAGTCTTATTAATTAATTTTGATCTACCAAACAGTGTTTTTTTGGGGATCTGATTATTAATGGTAAAAAACAAAATATTGCTTATGTAATTATCGCTCCCTTTTATCAACTATTTCACAGGTTACCGGTTAGTTTTATTTTCGAGTAAAAGCTGTTCATTATAAATATAATGTTAGATGTTGACTCAAAACGCTGATAGTCGTTCGTTTTTGTGTCATGATTATGGTTCGACAAGGGCAAAGCAAAAGAGACTTGATTCTTATACGTTTAGTCGATACTGGCGAAAGAATAATGCAAATCTAGTTTTTGAAGGTGCCTATCTAATTTCCGAAAATCTAACTTAGGAGTTCACTCTAACTCATGCATCCGTAAAATGCTTGTATGTACTCTTCGTCTTTGTTGTGCGTAAGATAACTTGTCTAAAATTGCACTGACAAAATAACTATGATCATCTAATTTACATTTTTCGTCTCTTTAACTCAATTAGTGTCAAAAACTACCATTTCATCTAATTATTTCGTTTTTGTTAGCGTTACTCAACGTTCTAACCTTTAAAATTGTATTATATTTAACTGGTCTATATAGTTGATCACTTGTTTAGATAAAGACGTAACTATTAAACAGTATCCCGACAACCTGTTTCAATTTATATTTTAAACAAAGATTTATGACTTGAATTATTCTGTAAATTCATAATGACTATAAATAATTTTAATTATCTTACAATCATCCAGTTTATCTTGTGCTTGCTACCATTGACGTAACTACTTCTATGAATCTGGTGTTCATCCTGTTGTGCTAATGAGGTGTGGCAACTTGGACCGATGCATATTTGTGCCTAGTCCTACGTTGTAACTCACTGACTGACAGCTGAAAAACGTATGGTCTAAGTTCGCGAGTTAGTCGGAAGTCATTTCTTCGATTAATTTGTGGTTTATATACTTTTACTACTTAAATAGTATGAACATTGAAGTAAATTTTTTCCAGTGTTTTGCTCGAACTATCTTGGCTACACATCTGGTTACCTAACTTTCAGCCACTACATCTGGGTAATATTCATTAGCGAAGTTCATAATTTGATTTTACTACTGATAAATCATTTTGTTCACAAAGGAGTTTTACATTTATGGGTCTTAAACATGTTAAACACTGTCATCATCTATTAAATCTTACCGGCACGGAATTTATTATAAAATGGTGAATGTTGTTTCCAAAACAATGTACTGTAAGTTTCCCTCAGTGGATCTGTAGTGAACACGAAGACGAATGGGGACAGTTGAATGTGTTTGAAAGAAAATTACAGAACTTGTTAATAAAATCTAACAATCATGTAGTAAATACTTGATTTGCAAAGTGTTCATTATTTGTCTTATAATGACTCAGACTTCACTATTCTTGCATTTTTATTCAAAGTAAATTCTGTTTCCATTCTTTACTGTTCGGTCCTCTTGTCTCCCTGCCGCCAGACATTCTGTTTCTGACTAAAATCATAGAGCACAGATATTTAAAACATTGATGATTTTACTGTTTCAGAGATATAAATTAGCCATTCAATTTAGCAAAGTAATGCTGCTCTTACAGAAGCTTGGTCCTAACGAGAACCAAAAGTATAAAGATCATATCCTGCCTAAACACCCACGAGAAGTTAGTTTCAAAGAAACTGTTAACATTCTAAATAAAATGTTTTGTGAACAAGCGTCCTTATTCCGTATCCGGTATAATTGTCTACAGCTGACTAAAGAGGCTGATGATGATTGTACTACGTACGCCGGAAGAGTAAATTTACAAGCAGAACGTTTTAAATTAAATGTATTAACCAGTGATCAATTTAAATGCTTATTATTCATTTCTGGTCTAAACTCTCCTGTTGATGCTGATTTTCGCATGAAATTGTTATCCCGTATGGAACATGATGATGAAATGACGTTACAAACTATCAACACTGAATGCCAACGATTAATAAACTTAAAACAAGATACCGCTATGCTGGAAACCAAAATTGCAGCGTCATCAAATTCTGTTCATGCTGTCAAGACAAGTCAAAGACAAAATAGTACCAAAAGTCATAAATATCACTCGAAAACTTCTAAACCTGCAACTAAATTTTGGTATTGTGGTGCGTGGCATTTCTCAAGATTTTGTCGGTTTAGAAATCATAAATGCACTATATGCAATAATGTTGGCCACAAAGAAATAGTCTGCCGAACCAAAAAAAGTTTGAGATCGAAACAAACCAGGCGTCCTCACCAGTACCAAAATAAATATATAGACAGTATATATTCCACACTCGCTCTAAGCGTAGAGGATAAAAGAAGATATGTGGAATTAATGGTTAATGGTGTTCTTGTTCGATTGCAATTGGACACAGCGTCAGATATCACACTGATCTCGAAACGAACGTGGGGTTTAATTGGGTGTCCGAAAGTATTACCAACAGAGCACACTGTACGGAATTTATTTATTTATTTTAACACATAAGTATAGGTACAGGGAGGCACCAAATACATATGCGCCATGTGAGAGCATTTCGAGAGAGAGAGAGCGGACTCTCCCCACTCTCGGCCGTACCAGGGCATTTGGGGGCGTACCATTAAGTGAAATATGCTCGATGAAAAGCGCAATAATCCTAGCGATCCACCCACAGTCCATGTAACTAAGAAAGTCGTAACTATAGAAGATCTTTTGCAGAAGCATAAAGATTTGTTTCAGAATAAATTGGGATGCTGCACAATCGAGAAGGCGAAATTATACTTACGACAGGATGCAAAACCTGTTTTCCGTCCAAAACGTCAAGTCCCATATGCGGCTATTGACAAAGTCGACAAAGAATTAGACCGATTAGAGAAGCTCGGTGTTATACAACCTATCAATTATTCGGCATGGGCAGCACCAATTGTAGTGGTTCAGAAAGCGAAGGGAGCTATTCGCCTCTGTGCAGATTTTTCAACAGGACTAAATGACGCTTTACAAAATCATTCATACCCATTACCTTTGCCAGAGGATTTATTTATTAAACTGAACGGTTGACGTTATTTTTCTAAACTTGATTTATCTGAATCTTACTTAGAAGTAGAAGTTGACGAAAATTAAAAGGAGTTATTAACTATTAATACCCACCGTGGACTCTATCGATTTAACCGATTACCGTTTGGTGTTAAGCCAGCCCCAGCAATTTTTCAGCAAATAATGGATACTATGGTGTCTAACGTTGAAGGTGTAGCAGTTTACTTGGATGACATTATAGTTGTTGGCTCTTCTGCGCAGGAATTAATGGGTCGGTTAGACGTGGTGCTCACAAAAACATCACAAGCCGGTTTTCAGTTACAAAAAGAAAGGTGTGAATTTCTGCTCGAGTCTGTTAAATACCTTGGATATATATTTGATAAAAATGGTCGTCGACCAGATCCAGACAATATAAATGCTATCAAAAATATGCCCAGACCGACTGAGGTTACAACCCTTCTCTCGTTTTTGGAGATGATTGGTTATTATAGTATGTTCGTACCCCATATGTATAAATTGCGACATCCATTAAATCAACTCTTGATGGCTAATACAACATGGAACTGGACAAAGGAATGTCAAGATTCTTTTGATGAAATGAAAAAGATTTTATCTTCTAAATTGTTGCTGACTCATAATAATCCTAAGCTTGAAATAATTGTAGCCGCTGATGCTTCAAACTATGGAATTGGAGCTGTTATCAGTCATCGTTTTCCTGATGTTAAAGAAAAGTCAATTGCTCATGTATCCCGAACTCTTAACTCAGCTGCGCGAAAATATAGTCAGATTGAGAAGGAAGGACTAGCTTTAGTTTTTGCAGTAAAGAAATTCCATAAAATGATTTATGGTCGTCGATTCACTCTCTTAACGGACCACAAGCCGCTTTTATCTATATTTGGATCGAAGTCAGGTATTCCTGCATATACAGCGAATCGATTACAGCGCTGGGCTATTACGCTGCTTGCTTACGATTTCCAAATCCTATATAAATCAACTGAAAAGTTTGGACAAGCTGATGCTTTATCCAGATTAATTGCGAATCAGAAGCAGGAAAGCGAAGATTCTATTATCGCGACGATATCGTTGGAAAATGATATTCATCATATACTACAAGTTGCCATAAAAGCAACACCGTTATCCTCTGAAGACATTAAACACCATACTCAAGAAGACGATGAGCTGAGGCAGATTATTCGATACCTCGAACATGGTTGGCCTACCCATATAGACAACAAAAATATTGAACAGTATTCTCACCGTCGAAATTCTCTATCACTTGTGGACGGGTGCTTGATGTTTGGA